CCTAACATGTTGTAGGTGACATCAAGGAAAGATCAGGAGCAGTACTGGACAAACAGAGATGAGCCTTACAGGTTCATCACAGTCAAGCACTTTTCGGAGGCTTTTCAATCTTTTTCTGTGGGGAAAAGAATTACTGAGGAACTTGCAGCTCCATTTGACAAGACCAAGAGCGACCCAGCTGCCTTAACGACCAAGAAATATGGTATTAGAAAAGTGGAACTCTTGAAAGCTTGCTTTTCGAGGGAACTCTTGCTTATGAAGAGGAATTCATTTGTCTACGTTTTTAAGCTCACTCAAGTGAGTTTTGAGTCTATTTTAGTTTCTATTAAAACCTTTTCTTTTTCTTCTGTGCACCTGGATTTAATATGCAGTACATGTTTTCCTTCTTTTTAGCTTGCAATAATGGCACTGATCACAATGACCGTATTCCTACGGATTGATATGCACCATGATTCAGTAACTGACGGAGGAATATATGCTGGTGCTTTGTTCTACTCCTTTGTTACTGTTATGTTCAGTGGAATGTCCGAGATTTCTATGACTATTGCCAAGCTTCCTGTTTTTTACAAGCAAAGAGACCTCTTTTTTCCGTCTTGGGCATATGCCCTTCCCACATGGATTCTCAAGATCCCTATCACGTTTTTAGATGTTTCTGTTTGGGTATTTATCACTTACTTTTTCATTGGATTTGATCCCACTGTTGAAAGGTAATCATGTACAAAGTTTTGTCACATTCTCGTTTAATTTGTTTTCATGCTTGTTGTAGGCCATATAATATATCATTCTGAAAATGATGCAGGTTGTTTAGACAATACCTTCTGTTCTTACTCATTAGTCAGATGGCTTCTGCGTTAAACCGATCCATTGCTGGAATGGGTAGAAGCATGGTTGTTGCTTACACATTTGGGTCATTTGCTCAGCTCATGCTTTTTGCTTTGGGTGGCTTCGTCCTGTCAAGAGGTATGAAATAAGTAAAGTAAAGAAACACCACTTCCCCTTATGTGCTAAACAATGTTTTCTAATGTCCTTTGGCTGATGTCACAGAGAATATACAGAAATGGTGGATATGGGGCTACTGGATATCACCTTTGATGTATGGGCAGAATGCAATCGTAGTTAATGAGTTCCTGGGAAAGAGTTGGAGTCATGTAATACCTTAATTCACTTGCCATTTCAAACACTTTTTTGTTTGTTCCTTAGTAATTATATTGTTGTACTTGCTATTAAAAGGTTCTTCCAAACTCAACGGAACCGCTCGGAGTTGCTGTTTTGAGGTCTCATGGATTCTTTACACTTCCATCTTGGTATTGGATTGGAGTAGGAGCTTTGGTTGGATACATACTCATATTCAACATTTGTTTCACTGTGGCTCTCACTTATCTAAACCGTAGGTACCTTAACCTTACCTGCACTAACTCTTAGAAATGAGAATTTAGCTTAAACTACCATAAAAATGTTATGCAGCGTTAGAGAAGCCACATTCTGTAAAATCAGAAGAATCTCAAAGCAATGAACATGACGAAAAGACTGGAGAATTTGGTCAGTTACAGAACCAAGGAAATAGCTTGATGCTGAAAATTAACACAGGTGATATATCCTCTCAAACACTGTTTGTGTATATCTGTTTTGTGTGGAATTGTATATTGGTGACCAAATATTACCACTTTTTATGAAATTTTTGTGGACATGCAGATAATGCAGAAGAATATATTAATCATAACAAGAAAAGAGGAATGGTTCTTCCATTTGAACCACATTTCATCACGTTTGATAAAATAACGTACTCTCTAGATATTCCACAGGTGATCGGACAAGTTTAAAACATGTTTGATATTAGACAAGTTTGTGCAACTCCTAAATTATGAGTAATTTTGTGAATCCATCTTGCAGTCAATGAAGAACTCCAAAGGTGTTGTTGAGGATAAATTGGTGCTTCTCAAGTGCGTTAGTGGTGCTTTTAGGCCAGGCGTTCTGACAGCTCTGATGGGAGTGAGCGGTGCTGGTAAAACTACACTAATGGATGTACTGGCTGGTAGAAAAACTAGAGGATATACTGAGGGAAATATTTCAGTTTCTGGGTATCCAAAGAAGCAAGACTCATTTGCCAGAATTTCTGGATACTGTGAGCAGAATGACATCCACTCTCCGTATGTTACTGTCTATGAATCCTTGATGTACTCAGCATGGCTTCGTCTATCTACGGAAATTAGTTCTGGAACAAGGAAGGTTGGTATCTGCTAGTTAAGAATAATTTCTACTATTTACTTTCTTTTAATGCAATTTAAAGTCATGAGCAAGCTTGAACTGATTTTCAGAATTGGTTGTAGATGTTCGTTGATGAAGTGATGAGACTCGTGGAGCTGAATCCATTAAGGCAAGCACTAGTAGGGTTACCTGGTGAAAGTGGTCTCTCAACCGAGCAGCGGAAGAGGCTGACCATTGCGGTTGAACTAGTAGCAAACCCTTCTGTAATATTCATGGATGAACCAACTTCAGGTTTAGATGCAAGAGCTGCTGCTATTGTTATGAGAGCGGTTAGGAACATTGTGGACACTGGAAGAACAATAGTGTGCACTATTCATCAGCCAAGCATCGACATATTTGAATCTTTTGATGAGGTGAAAACAGATATTGACTAAAGAGATTGAAACTGGAACTCCATGTGTTTTGTCTGTTCTAAGTGATTAGCATATGTAACATGTCATTGCAGTTGTTTCTAATGAAGCAAGGAGGACAGGAGATATATGTAGGGCCACTAGGTCGTCATTCTTGCCATTTGATCAAGTACTTTGAGGTAGAGTCTGATTGAAACTCAGGAAATTTCAATGATAAAATATGATATTCTTATCTTTTCTGCTGCTTCTTTTTTCAGAAAGGTTTTCTTGTGCATGTAATTTTCTGTGCAGGGAATTGAGGGGGTGAGCAAAATCAAGGATGGCTACAATCCAGCTACTTGGATGTTGGAAGTTACCACTTCAGCCAAAGAAACGGCATTAGGAATTGATTTTGCTGATGTTTATAGAAGTTCTGAAATTTATAGGTAGGTTTATCAGACCTTGAACCATGCATTAACTTTTACTGATGAAAGTGATTTCATTTCAGGAGAAACAAATCCCTTATTGAAGAACTGAGTACCCCTCCTCCTGGTTCAAAGGACCTCTACTTCCCTACTCAATATCCTCAGTCATTTTTCACTCAATACATGGCTTGCTTATGGAAACAACATTGGTCATACTGGCTCAATCCGGAATACAATGCCATAAGGTTTATCTACACAACTGTCGTAGCCTTGCTGCTTGGGACAATGTTCTGGAATCTTGGCACCAAAATGTAAGTCACAGTGCAGAAGTAAAATAGATGTAATAGAAGTTGAGATTCTTGCATGAGTAATTTTGAGTTTGTTAATTTCAGGACCAAACCGCAGGAGCTCTTTAATGCAATTGGTTCTATGTATGCTTCTGTTCTCTTCCTTGGTATTCAGAATGCTATGACAGTGCAGCCGATAGTGGCTGTTGAACGAACCGTCTTTTATAGAGAACGAGCTGCTGGAATGTATTCTGCCTTGGCATATGCCTATGCACAGGTGACTTATTCTATATGCATTTTACAAACATAGTTATTATTATGCATCATCTTATCTTATTTGTCTTGTGCGAATTCGATTATTTGTTGTAGGTCACAATTGAGGTCCTTTATGTTTTTGCACAAGCTGTGATCTATGGTGTCCTAGTTTATGCTATGATTGGCTTTGAGTGGACCGCGGCTAAATTCTTTTGGTACCTATTCTTCATGTTTTTCACATGTTTGTACTTCACCTTCTATGGCATGATGGGGGTGGCCTTGACACCAAATCAACATGTTGCTGCTATAACTTGTAATGCATTTTATGCATTATGGAACCTCTTTTCGGGGTTCATAATCCCACGAACCGTAAGCGTTGCATGCCCTTTAAGTTCCTACTACTGCAAGTTTTTTTTTTTCCAGTTAATAGAATCTGTATTGATGACAAATTTTCGTTCTTTTGGACGCCATATCAGAGAATTCCTATATGGTGGAGATGGTACTATTGGGCATCCCCAATGGCTTGGACCTTGTATGGATTGACTGCATCCCAGTTTGGAGATATACAGGCCAAGCTCAACACAGGTGAAACAGTGCAAGAGTTTCTGAGAAATTACTTTGGTTTCAAACAAGAATTTGTAGTTGTGGTTGCAGCTGTAGTCGTTGGATTTACACTACTCTTTGCATTTACCTATGCCTTGTCCATCAAGAAGTTGAATTTTCAGTGGCGATAAGAAATTATGTATCAATTAATTTCAATCAGCATAGTTTAGGCTAGGGTCTCAATAGCAAACATGTCATCAACTTGTTGACCATTTGGGACTTAGCCTCATCAACTTTAACACTTGTTAAAAATCCACCTAAGAACGGAGGGAGAAACACTTCCATTCGCATAATGTAAGATTGTGTTGTTTAAAATGACAGTTAATAGAACCATCTGATTTGATTCGTTCTCAATAGCCATGAGATGATCATCTTAGGGTGATCCTTTTGTCGACGGATGCTCCTATTACACTCGTAGTCTCTGAAGAATGAGAACCGACTATGTAGCATCTACATCGAGAATTCAAGTATTGTATACGTCATTAGTCCGATTCTTTGTTATATCTTTTGCGGCCGTTTGCAGCGATTTTATGACATTTAGTGACAAAAATTTAGTCTCAGATATGAAAGTCCCCTTTAGCAGCGGCTTTTTCCGTCGCTAACCGTTGTAGATTCACTAATTTGCAGCGAAGATAAAACCCGCCGCTAAAGGTTGCGTAGAATGCCATATTTCAGCCCTTCAGAAATGTGAGCTTTTACCGTCTTTCCCTCTTACATATTATAATTTTGGGACGCTACTCTAGTTTTAAAAAGGGCAAATTTTGTCACATGATCCTTGTTTATGAATATTTCATGCTAATTTGTTTTTTAATGCAATATTGGGCATATGCGAAGCATTTTAAAGGTCATGATCTCTTATCCCACTTCTCCCCACTCTTTTCTTTTGGCAAGGAACCACTACAATAAATAAAGTGTACATATTGTTCAAAAATCAGCCAGAAGAAATAAAATAGCCATCATTGAACGCTTTGGCCTATGCATTGCATGTAAGTACCCAGTGGAACAGTTGTGCTTACTGGCTGCACAATATCGAAAATCAAATATAAGTTGATGCATATGTGTAAAGGAACATTCAGGTACATTGTAGAAAGACTTAGAAAATTTACCGGAATTAGAGTTTAAGCAATTTCAATTCAACCATATCAGTATATTTGTGCACTAGGATCAGCAATTTCATAAATTATGAACATGCTTTAATTTTAATGAGACAGAACAAAATGCACGCCCTATGAACTTAAGAACATAGCATGTTGACTCTACGATACTATTTTTAAAAAAAACCATAATGTACAAATCGGTGAACAAGAAATCCACCAAAATCTTAAAACTACGATACCTCTCTACCACATTTCACTTGCAAAACTATAACTCTACGATACTACTGCTTTCCAATCCATAGATTAGCAAAACGTAAACGCCCTAAACTCTAAAGACGTAGATGCCCAAGAGGATGCCCGAAACCGTATACGATGCCATAACTAATCCATCTCATCACCCTTAACAATAACAAAAACCCTCCTATTCCTTTCCACCCACACTACCCAAAAAAACTGCCAACATAGAACATCTTCCCAGAACTTCTCCCCGTTTCTTTCCTCCAAAAAGATTGAACCTCTCTCCAAACAATGCACTGCATGAGGCAAGGAATGTCCCATGCACTACAAGTTGACTGTGGGTTAGCCCCATGATACACTCAAAGTACTGTCCTTCCTCCTTCTCAACCAGTGACCCTTGTAAGTTTAAAAAGGGCACAATTAAGGAGGTTTTCAAAACTAAATTTGAGGGCAATTACATAAATCTTAGTTAAATGGGTTATTAAGTCTTGATATGTAATAAATCTTAGTTATATACACACCACTCAGTTTATAGATTTATATATAATACTTTAACTAAGTTACACAGCCAGCCACCAATACCAATATCAAAGTCAGTACTTAAAGTTACATAAAGACAGGTTTAGTGAACCATCCACCAATATATGAAACCAGCTTTTTCTTTTTGTCAGAAAGTGATAAAATTCTTTGCAAAGACCCAAAAAAGGGCATCAAAATACACCAACAAAACTAAGCCCAAACAGACCGTTTCAATGAGATCATTCTACACCAGAACAGAAAACTAAATCGTATATACATTGTAGAAAGAAAAGTTACCAAAATTGGAGTTTAAACAATTTCAATTCAACTATATCAGTATATCATTTGTGCACTAGGATCAGAACCTTCAGAAAATTAAGAACATGCTTCGATTTCAATGAGGATACATAGACCAAAATATGTGTGAACTTACGAACATTACATGTTGACTGAGTTTTTTTTATAAGAGACCACAATTTTATTAAACAGCCACCACTCTATCTCATCACCCTTGACATCATAAAAAACTCTCCTATTCCTTTCCACCCCCACTACCCTAAAAACTTCCAACCTTGCACATCTTCCTAGAACTTCTCCCTGTTTCTTTCCTCCTAAAAAGTTGAACCTCTCTCCAAACAATGCACTACATGAGGCATAAGGAATGTCACATGCACTACATGTTGACTGTGAGTTAGCCCCATGATACACTCAAAGTAATGTCCTTCCTCCTTCTCAACCAGTGACCCATGTAATTTTAAAAAGGGCACAATTAAGGAGGGTTTCAAAACTAAATTTGAGGAAAATTACCTAAATCTGAGTTCAATGGGTTATATAGTCTTGATATGTAATAAATCTGAGTTATATACACACCACTCAGTTAATAGATTTACATATAATACTTAAGGTACACAGCCACCAATACCAATATCAAAGTCAGTGCTTCAAGTTACATAAAGTTAGAATCATATATTCACTACTCCAACACGAAGTGGGAAGGACGAAAATTTCGACTTACGATAAGTTATATATCAGGAAAATAAAAAATTTAAATAAAAAGAGGATGCAATTTTGAAACCAGTTTTTTTTTTTGTCAGAAAGTGAAAAACTTCATTGCAAAGACCCAAAAAAGGGCATCAAAATACATCAACAAAACTAAGCCTAAACAGACTGTTTCAATGAGATCATTCTACCCCAGAACAGAAAACTAAAATCTTGCAGACTTTGCCCAAAACAGAAACCAGTCAGATATTTGAGAAAGAAAAAGGGTGCAAATTTTCTAGTGAAAAAGCCAGATTTTATACCTTGTCTTGGACAAATTGAGACGATGGTATAGTGCTTTTCTCCTCTCTTCACTTATCTCATAGAAGTGTCACCGCGATTTGATACCACTGGAGCCCAACCGACGTCGCGGTGGAGAATTAGGTTTAGGGATTTCGTTTTGATCGATTTTGGGGATTAAAGAAATCGGGTTTTCTGGTGACCCGAAGGAAGGCCGTCTTCAGTAATGAGCCCATTTCATGTTTGGACTTTTAACTTTTGACCCACAGTATAGAAAACCAAACTGTTGGTTCAGTTTAGGTTTCTTTTTTATTTAGTAGCAGAGTTTGGTGTAACTTTTTTTTTTGGTCTGAACTATGAGGTGGTTCTGGATGGGCCCCAACTATGGGTGGCACCTTTAAGCCTTAACCACAACCCAGACTAATCCCCACTCACACCGGGTCGGCTCGTAAGGGATAAAGTGTTGGCCAAAGTGGTGATTCCGTACGAGAGTTTGGTGTAACTTTTACTCCTTTTCTTTCATGGATATATGTTTTTAATTTTCCTAAAAATAATTTTAGCAAGTTTGTTTCGATAAATAATAAGAAATTTGTGTTAATAATTCCTAAACAACACCATATGTAGTAAAATACATTATTCTGCACAATTTCAAAAAAAAAGTTTCAATGAAATATTCGGTCATTATAGAGTATTTTAATACTAATTAATTTCAAACAAAAATTACTGTATAGTATTTTATTCAATAATATGTGAAAAATTCGTGAATTTTGTCTGAATTATTTATAAATTATAAAAGTATATGTATTAAATGTGAATAATACATTTGTAAATAATATGTGTATAGTATATTTGATTTTTAAAAAACGGGTATTTTTACCATATCTTTGGTAAGCGTATGCCTATAATACGCGTACTATACCCAAATTTATTAACTAATTCCAATATTGGCCCAAAAAATAAGACATTACAATGATCCATTGAGGCTAAAGTCCAAAAAAGTTAGATAATAGTAAGTTTGGAAAGCAAGAAAACAAGTTGAACAAGTGGCGCTGAATCATTGAGGCAAACTTTAATAGGGTTACATGGTGAAAATGGTCTCTCAAATGAACTGAGCAGCGAAGGAGGTTTGAATACATAGCACAGCACCTGCATACCATGCCTATAATAAATAAGCCTTGTGGTCCATGAAGGTTGAACCAGATATCTCCATCAACACTAGAAAATTAAGAAAATTGCTGAAAGAACCTCTCTACTTAACTTAAGTAAAGTTTGTTTGTGAAAGTAATTCGTTTCTCGTTTCAGGAGAAACAAATCACTTACTGAAGCATTGAGTATTGCTGCTC